ATAAAACACCCAAAAATACTTAGATATGGACATATCGGATTATATTAATGCCAAATTTCCACATGGCGACGATTTATAGACTCCCGGGAATTATTTCCCCTTTACGCTTTTTGTCGCGCTGGCGGTCGACGCAGCATTTATTTCTAAACAAGTTGACCCGGATTAAGCACCATTTTGCACCTTCAAGTTCCGTGTCACGTTTTCATATCATGCATTTATTATTTCTACAAGTTTTCTCTGCCCAAAATGCGTAAAAAAAGAGAGTTATCTTACCATGTTGTTTAGAAAACTTCTTTTTCCTTCGACAACCCGTCTTCACTGCCGTTCACCTCTATGTTAAAATGACCATTCAGCTTCGTTTCTAACACCACTGCACGTCACTTCCGGCACAATTCTGACCAATGCTGATCTTCTCCGGTTCCCTTTATTCAATCCAGACCATCTTTCGTAGTATTTTTCCATGGGAGATTCCGTGAATGCATGCCGCCTGTGTCCTGAAGACAATGGATTGCGGTAGATGTGCCAATTGCTGCCGTTCTATAAAACGCAATTCCCGTGGAGCAGGTTGTGACGGGAATGCATACATCTTTACACCACAACTTTTGGGGGCGGAGGGGGGGGTTCTTTCCTTTTACATCCATTTTAACATAATGTATGAGATCCTATGAGAGATGACCATTTATTATGCTGCAACATGCAATTGCGTTTGTGTACAAAATCATATCCAGAAGGATCACGCATCTCTTTTTATCCACAGTCGATATCTATGTATTTACAGCATACAAAATATGCTGTAAAAACATTAAAGTATAGTATTAACCACTAAATATGCAAAAAATGCCTAAAATAGCAAAAAATACTTCAGAAAAAGGATCACTCATTTTTCACTATTCTGTCAGTTTTCTTGACATCCATAAAGATGACAAGTAGCATAGCGTGTTTAGTCACAAAACAAAAGATGTGGGACACAAAGTGTGTGTGTGTGTGTGTGTGTGTGTGTGTGTGTGTGTGTGTCCTCTTCCCCATTTAAATAACTATTGTATTCGTCTGCTTTTACTTTCGGTCTTATCCCTGTGATTTAATGCATTTTGTCGACCATTTCATTTAATGTATTTTCTTTTATTTTTCATTTAACCTCTTCCATCAACGCACTTGGAAACGACATCGGTGTATTACCGGTACATGTAGCAACATGTAGCAACCCCTCAGGACAGTGAAATTTGTGGTTGAATATTGGGGATGAGTTCTACAAGTGAATCTAGCTTTTTGTAAGGCGACCGGGGGGGGGGGGGGTAAGGATAAAAAATATACCTGACCAGAGATACAGATGACACACAAGAGTGGGGATATTGTTTTGTCTTGTCTTGATTCACTACGCTGTTTTTTGAGGGGGGGGGGGGGGGATGGAGTGAGGGGGAGAGAGGGAGAAGAAATATCTTTGTAGTTAAGGAAGGTCACGTGCTCGCTTTTCCCCCGCTGGTCCCTCTAGATCAGTCATCGTGTTTTTTACTCAAAGAAAGAATTTATTCGAGGGCTGAATCTTTCGTCAGCTTGACTGGAGACAATGCTGCACAGCGGAATGCGCGCGTATTGTGCCTTCGGGTGTCGTCTGCTGGCGAGGAATGTGACCTTTGACCTCAGTAAACATCACTTCAGTGGATGATACTGATCAGTATACATCTGTAAACATACATCCGTGCACTTAAAACCTTTGATTTATTTAAGTTAGGAATTTGGTTGATGGCGAGGGGGGGTGGGAATTTCCATAAAAAGGTGTGGATTTTGGGAACCGTGTGCTATGGAGTATTCCTCATATAAAAAAAATCTCACTTGCCAGAGATTGTTACGAATGAAATCTAAATTCTTTTTTAAACTTTGAAGTAGTCAGTGGAAGGATGTGACGACACTTGTCAACATAAACGCTGACATAAAGACCCCCCCCCCCCCATACACAGATACATGTACAGGGTATGTACAGACGCACGTACACACCTCGACTTCGGGGTCTATAACAGGAAAATATCACATCTCCTCCTACACGTATCTTTGTTCATCTAAACAGCACCTGAATTCTTAGATAGTTGTTTTAAAAAATAACAATTTTTATGAATTAACGATGGCATGTTGGTTTATCAAATATACATGTTTATAAATAGATATTAAGAATTAGCGAGCTTGGTCAGAATTATTGTGCCTTATGTTACTAGCATATCATTTATCTTCGAGTCTAATACTCATCAATTTTTCTTTGGGTACTTAAATTCTTTGCACGCACTGCGTTATTAAATGAAAGGAATGTTGTATTTTAACATCTTGTCTGGGACAGCAGACAGACAAATATGAAACCTGTCCTATTATGCAATATACAAGATTGGTCGCATTTAGAATAGCGAAATAACAGATCTGCAGATCAAATATGACGACCCACTTAAAAACTTGTCGCTTAATAAAGGGAACCGGAGAAGATCAGCATTGGTCAGAATTGTGCCGGAAGTGACGTGCAGTGGTGTTAGAAACGAAGCTGAGTGGTCATTTTAACATAGAGGTGAACGGCAGTGAAGACGGGTTGTAGGAGGAAAAAAAAGTTTTCTAAACAACATGGTAAGATAACACTTTTTCTTTACGCATTTTGGGCAGAGAAAACTTGTAGAAATAATAAATGCATGATATGAAAACGTGACACGGAACTTGAAGGTGCAAAATCGTGCTTAATTGGCGGTCAACATGTTTTAAAATGAATGCTGCATCGACCGCCATTGCGACAAATAGTGTAAATGGAAAATAATTCCCGGGAGGCTGTAAATCGTTGCCATGTGGAAATTTGGCATTAATATAATCCGATATGTCCATATCTAAGTATTTTTGGGGTGT